ATTGAAGTAATATCTCCCAGAGTCAGTCGATTTCGTGCTGTTTCGTCTCAGGTTTGTTGTATTATTTATTTTTTCGTTTTCTGATTTAATCTAATGATTTTTATAACTCTTGCGAGAAAGTTGGAAAAAAATCGGCTTTACTTTATTTATACAATATTTACAAACTTTTAACTATCTAACAAATAAATCTTTTAAAGAATATTCTTTTTTTTGAGCATTTAAACTTTTTGCTTGGCCTTTACGTATGAATAAAACGTATAATCTTTTAAATTTATATTTGTCACATGATACTCATGATATTTAAGAGTGTCTTATGAAAATTATAAGTGAAATAAAGCCGATTATATTTAATATAAATAGATCAGATATTTTTATACATTAAATGAAAAAGAGCACTGCGATTTGGCGTGAGGTCTACTCCGAGCGGGCGGCACACGCGGTGGAAGATTAAAATTAAAACAAATCCCATTACCGCTCTAGGGCCGTATGATAAAATACCGACTAGGCTTATTGCACATTATACTAACTACTACTTACGAGCAAGTTTAGGAAAAATACGAATGTGAATATTGGAAAAATTGAATTGCAACTAAATAGTGGACATGACCACCAATACAACTATCAAGTCTCAGAATCGCTTAAGAATGTCACACGTATCAAATTTTATTATAGTGGCGTGTTAAAAATCACGCCTAAAGTTTATTACTTATGTAATCGTCGGCTTAGAGGAAAACGAGGCTACGAGCTAGGCCAAAGCGCACGATACTGGCCATCCTATGCCAAGTCCACTCCCACTGCACTGTCGAATTAAGGTCGTATCCTACACACATAAACCGACTCAAACGATACATATGTTACCTGATAAAAATCACCCAAAGTGTTTCCAAAATTATTTTTATTTACCCACTCCCATTCATTTATTTGCTTTTTGTTTAAAATATATACTTACTTTGTTACCGTTGTTATTTAGTTTATCTCCCGCTTATTTTGTACATCTTAAATTTCTGTTAACTTTTCCACTTAATGTAGAAAATTTTACCTCTTGGAACATATTTTTTTCTATATATATATAATAAAGAGTACATGTGTGCAATAAAGAGTATTTGTATTGTAAAATTTTATATATTGGGTGTTTCAGTGACTAGGTCAAAATCAAAAAATCAAAATCAAAAATATTTTATTCAGAAGTTCAGTCTTTAAATTCATAGTGGCTCGGGACTCCCTTTTAAGTATGTAGATACTTGTGCTAGGGATTCCCGCTCTTCCTTATGGTACACTAATTATATTAGACTGACGCTACTTAACAAAACATACAATGAAATAAAATTTAAGAAATTTTAGAACTAAAAGTGTACAAGTATTTAATTATTTTTAGGGTATAGAATGCGTTGCGTGAGTTGAGTTGTGTGTGTGTGTGTGTGTGTGTGTGTGTGTGTGTGTGTGTGTGTGTGTGTGTGTGTGTGTGTGTGTGTGTGTGTAGTGTGTAAGTGTGTGTGTGTGTGTGTTTGTGTGTTAGTGTATGTGTTATTGAGTGTGGGTGTGTGTCTGTGTTTGAGTGAGTGCATGTCTGTGCATGCGTGCGTGCGAAAGTTTGCGTGGTAATGAGTTAATCAGTCAAAGACTTGCGTGGTTGTGCATGTATGTGTGATGCATGGTATATTTATTCTAGCACTTCTAATAGGTGTTCTGTTTCTGCATAATCTAATGATTTTAACCATTTTGAAAGAGTAGTTTTACAATCATAAGTGTTTAATGGGTATAACTTTAATACTTTATTTATTTTATTGTACAGATAAGAAGATTGTCGGTTATATTGTTTTCTTGCAAAGGTGGTCTTTACATTTCTATACGGCATCACAATGTCTTTTCTTCTCTTCCTAAGTATAAGCGGATCAAAATCAATAGTTTTGTGTAACTTCACAATGCAGTTTAAAATGTATAATTTTCGAACCGTAAGCAGATCACTAATTCTGTAAAGCTCAGTTGTGGGAAACCTATATTTCTTAAAATGTATTACTTTAAGTAAGGCTCTCTGAGCCCTTTCTAATTGTATGAATTTAGTTTTTGAAGACCCTCCCCAGACAGAGATACAGTAAACCAGGACAGACTGTGCCAAGGCAGTATAAACTTTGGTTAGAAGATCTTTTGTTGCCACGTATCGTAAATTTTTAAATATCCAAATAAGTTTTCTTACTCTAGATGAAACAAGATTTATGTGTTCATACCATGATAAATTTTGATCTATAATAATGCCAAGATATTTAATTTTATGTACTTTGGCGATAGTGGGGCAAGTACAGACTTGTGTACGTTGGGTTTCACAACTATGAATTTTAATTTTATGTTCTAGAACAGGTTGGCTCGAGTTACGAATAGAAAAACAAATATAATTTGTTTTTGCGGTGTTTAAGGTAAGAAGGTTACTATTTAGCCACTGAGAAGCTTTGGCTAGACCTTCTTCGCTGCGCTTATGAACCTCTTCCCAAGTATTACCAGAAAATACCAAGGCAGTATCATCAGCGTAAGACACTACCCTTCCATTATCTATATCCAATTTACATAGGTCGTTTATATAGATAAGGAAGAGTGTCGGACCTAGGACACTTCCTTGAGGCACACCAAAAGTAACATTAACGTCACTACTCATGTAGCTGCCTATCTTAGTTCTTTGTGTACGATCTTTCAGATAGTCTTTCAAGATAGCAAGAGGGATACCTCGAATTCCAATGTTTTCAAGTTTCTGGACAAGAATGGGGACAGGGACGGTGTCGAATGCCTTTTTCAAGTCTAAAAAGATTCCTAAACATTTTTGCCCGTAGTCAAGGTTGTCAACAATTTGTGACGTCAGAGAAGATACAGCATCTTCTGTGGATAAATGTTTTCGGAAACCAAATTGCGTGTTTGCTAAGATGTTAAATCTGTTTAAATAATTAACTAAACGAGTATTTATTAATTTTTCAAGTATCTTAGATATAGAGGTAAGAACTGAAATTGGTCTGTAGTTGTTGACATCCTCCCTGCCTCCACCCTTGTACACAGGTGTAACAATAGATTTTTTTAACGCTTTAGGAAATACACCTTGTGCAAAACAAAGATTCGCCAGGTAACAAATAACTGGCACAATTATTTTTTTGGACTTCTTCAGGAAGTTAGTTGGGATATTATCCCACCCAGGAGCACTATTAGAGTCGATATTCATGAGAACACTTTCAACTTCATAAGGGTCAGTATCTAAAAGAACAAAGGAAGAGACTTGTGAGTTTGTTGTACTTGGTAGAAGAGGGGGGCATTGAACAAGATTGTTGGCCATAATTTTTTCCGCCAAGTCCAAACCAATACTAGCAAAAAAGTCGTTAACTTTATTAACAGAGATAGTTGGTGTTTCAGAAATATTAAGTAGGTTAGTATTAGGAGTTTTAATTTGTTTAAATTGTGTGATGTCGTTTATAGTAGTCCATAGAGTTTTATTATTTTTACATGATCTAGCTAATTTTTCACGTTCGTATTTGCGTTTAAGTTTTTTTATGAGTCCATTACAGAAGTTCCTATATCTCCTGTACGTTATACTCAAAATTTTATTATTTGGATCTGATTTTAATTGTTTTTGCAAATAGTTCCTATTTGTAATACATTTTAGTATACCTTCTGTTATGTATGGCTTAATTATACGTTTGCTTCTAGTTATCCCCAAAATTTTTGTATGTTCGGTAAGCGCATTTGTGATTTTACTAATCATAAGATTAGTTATTTCATTTGGATCCGTTAGCAAAAATAACTCTTCTATGTTAGACAATCTTAAACTGCTTAAGGCATTTACGTAGTTAATTATAGTTTTAGTTAGTGGGCAACTGGACGGCGGCGTGAGGTTTGATAAACTAAGTAATACCATCTGATGGTCTGTAATCGACGTGTTGAGGACTGCAATAAATGCAGATATTTTATTTTTATTAATATTTAACATAAAATGATCTAAGCACGCGTTTTTTCTGGTTGGGCAAGTGTGACCAGGAAGGATCCCATGCGTTGCTAAAGATGTTAGGTAATGCTGCATATTGTTTCGTTCATATGTTGATTTAGATTCTTTTTGGATTATATTTATATTTATGTCCCCTGTTATTATAATATTATGTTTTGTAGTTATCGAATTTAAGTGTGAAGTTAAAGAGTCAATAAAATCCGTAGCATTAGCCATAGAAGGGGATCGATAAATTGCTAGAATTTTGAAGCTGCAAAAAGTGATTTCAAGACACGATGCGTGAGTCAATTTAATTTCTTTTACTTTTACTTGATGATCATTTCTTACATAGACTACGACTCCGTCATTTTGGTTTAATATGTTGGTAGTATAATAAGAGGTGTAGTTTTGTAATAATGGTATTTGCTTATTAAAATCAAGTCGACACTCTGTAAAAATAATAATGTCTATACTAAATTTAAACTGTGATAATGTAATTTCAAAATCGGCAAAGTTGGTGTATATGCTCCTAATATTCTGAGTAATAATATGAGTTTTTATCACTTTAATATTGATGGTTTTATTTATGTAATCCAAGGAACATTCAGTAGATTTTGCAATTTTTGTGTCGTCTAATTCTTGTAGCGTATTTAGTGGTGTGTTATCCATAATTATCTATTATATTATTTGCTAGTTGGTAACCTGTGAGTGGATATGTGAATTGTGATATAATTTGGATACCGAATTTATAATAATTGGTGTCTTTAATTATGTTGTGCAGAGCAGTTATTTCCCACGCGTGTGTAAAAGTGTTAAGTTTTGTGTATATGTATGTAAGTGACTGAATATGTGATAATTTGAAATGTAGTGTATAATGTATGTGTAAGAAAAAATGTAAAAAAGTGTACATGTGAGCGAGTAAATGATTGTAGTAAATTTGAAAAGATTTAAGTTTAGATCTGTTACTTTGTTGATTACAATGGCTAGTACTGTATATAAACTTAGTTTTTAGGAGTTTGATAAACAGATATATTACAATTAATAGTCATATTTTTTGCATCAATTGTGTTATTTGTGACTCATGATTTATAAGTATTACCGGAGAGTTTTCATCTCTTCTCACGTAGACCTTGCCAAAAGATGTCCAGCAGAATTTATATTGTTTGGTTTTATGCAGTTCCCTAGCCAAAAAATAGAGACGAGCACCCTTTGCAGTTAGTTGTTCTGAAACAAAAATCGGTGTCTCTTCCTCGGAGGTGATGTTCAGAACCTTGGCACGCAACTTCTCCTTATTCTTGATGTTATAGGATTTACATGCTTTAAGTATGCCAGTCTTAATCATAGTAGAGCTGGTCTCCACAATTATTGGGGTATTCTTAGGTCCGTCTCGTTTACCCTGCACACGAAAGACGTCTCTGATTTCAGATTTCTGAATTTCGCAATCAATATTCTTAGATAGATTTACTACCATGTCAACTAAGTCATTCTTATTCTCTTGCGGCTTCTTCGGCACATTTTTAATTTCTAAGCAGGTTTTGCGATTATTGCGCTGTAGGTCTTCGAGCCTATCTTCCAGAATATGGATGTACTCTCTGTCTTTAGTTGACTGTAGTTCCATTTGGTTGATTTTTCTATGGAGCTCTTCATTTTGCTGAGAAAGAAATTCCACTGAATTCTCTATATTAAGGTTTGTTTGCTTAATATCTTTAAGCTCCTTAGCAATAGTCTTTAGTTCTGATGTTTGAGCTGAGAACAGTGCTGATATGGTGTTTATCATTTCGTCCTTAAAAGAGTCCAGTCCAGAGCAGCAGTCCTCTCTCGGTCGCTTTGCACGATGAGAAAAAAAGTTTGGCGGTGTTGTGAGAGCTTTGTCCGCCGCGAGATCAAAGACTGTGAGAGTTTTCTCTGCCGTCGAAAGATCAGAGTCCGATAAAGACTCATATGAATTATTATTTGTCTGTAGTAAACTCGGTAGCTAAAGACGTTGAATGATTACTGAGCATGTCAACAATAGCCAATGCATTGCAAACAGGACCTATCTGGGATCAAATGTATCTTTAGAATGTTCAGTGTATACTAATAATGTTGAAGGAAATCCTCCTTCAACGTCTCATTAAAGGCCCATTTAGATGGAGAGAGTTTCACGTCTCGAAGATGCGATTATCGAAAGAATATAAAAAACTTTCCTCGTCTAAACATTCGCGATTATCGACCGTCCACGTGAGCGATAATCTCCTCGCCTTTCAATATTGAACCTCTCCGTGTAAACAGAACTCGAAAGCAAAAATCGTATTTCGAGTTTC